ACTCCCACCAGGTCACATGGCTGGCAAGCCACTCCCACAAAGGAGGGCACACCCACAGAGTAAGTTCCAAAAATTTTCAAAACCCACCACTGATGCCCGGTCATAAAAAGATGGTCTGTTATCATAAAGCTTGACTAAAAGGGATGCTGTGCTCGAAAATCAGTGCCATTATTATAGCTCGTTCTACTATAACAGTGGAGCAGTCTATCTATAAAAAGAGATCCAACTTAGAAGTAAGAAGAAATGTTCTAACAGTGAGAACAATTCATCAATGGAATAGCTCGCCTCCCGGAGTTGTGGGTACGCCATCACTGGAGGTTTTCAAAAATAGACTGGACAACCATTTGACTGCGATAGGATACGGTATAGTCGTTAAACTCGATTTCATTGAGGGCCACATCAGGGTTGTATTTGACGTCAGGAGGCCAGGGTGGGTGTGGCCAGCTCGATGTCACTCGTGTTGGGGGCGCCTGTGGTGGCCCAAGCACTCTGCCAGTGAAAAAGGGCTCCTGAGCTCCGTTTTCAGCTGCAACGGCTTCATGCAACCCTCCGCTAGCAAAAACAGAGCTTGGGAGGACCGCCAGCAGCCCTTGCAAGCTCTGTTTTCGGCTGCGATGGTCTCCTGCAACCCTCTGCCAATGAAAACAGAGCTCAGGAGCGTTGCACACGGCCTTCCGAGCTCCATTTTCAGCTGCTACAGCCTCCTGCAATCCTCTATCAGTGAAAATGGAGCTCAGGAGGGCCGTGTGCAGCCCTCCTGAGCTTCATTTTTGCTGGCAGAGGCACCATGGGCCAGTCCTTCATTGTTTCCGGAGCCTCCCCGTGGTTCAGATCTAAGCACCCTGCGGGCCGGATCCAGGCCCCAGTCCTTGAGTTTGACACCCTTGGTATAAGGTATAATAGAATGATATAATTCGAGCAGAGGGTTGGACTAGATGACCGCCAAAGTGCCTTCCAGCTGCATGATTCTTGGTACTATGATTGGTTGTAGGTTCTCCATCTGTGGAGACTTTTAAGAAGAGGATGGACAACCACACCTTATGGATGGTTTTATTGGTTTTGCAGATCCCAGTGTTCTCTTTAAACTCTTAACATTGCATGATTTCTTTCTCCTCTCCTTTTTGTCTCAGTTCACACAACCGGAGAAGAGATGGAGCTGGCCATACAGTGACACCAAAGAGACACCAACAGCAGATCTGTAAATCTAGGGATCAACAGTGGGTTGGCTAACGTATCCATGGATACTAAGCAGGTTCATAACATGAAGAGTGCTTGGTGGTCTCTGAGGCTTGCTTGTTTTCTTGAAGACGTTTCATTATCCATACTAGGTAACTTCATCAGTGCTAATTTGGGTAATGAAATGTTTGCAAGAAACAAGCAAGCTCAGAGACCACCAAGGACTCCTCACGTCAGTCCTGAGCTACAGATATTCTCCTTTACTAGGTTCATAATAGTCTAAGTTTCCAATGGAAAAGAATTAAGAACTAAAGATAACTTTTATTTGGATCTACAGTATTCAGAAGACCTGGAAAAGAGCATTTTGGGAAAATTGAAACAACAGCCAAAAAGAGTCCAATTGCACCATATCCACTTCTTTAATTACAGTAGAACGCCTTTTATTGAAACGTGCTTTCCATTTTGGAGCTCTGCTAACAAAGTCTTTCATAACCTTCAGATAAACAAATGCCTTTCAGACTAGAATTGTTTAATGGGAAAGTTTAATTTATGTCGCGCAGATCGTGTGTGCGTTTTCCAGTTGTTTTCATTTTGTTACTTGTTTTTCCCCCCTTTCTTTTTATTACATATTTTTTCATTTTGAGTGTTATGCTAATGTTCTGTTTGTTTCAATAAAGAGGCAGTTATCCACGCATGCACACACACACACACACACACACAAACTCTTCCTTGAAAGTGTTCGGCTTTCAAATAGATTGGAGGATTTCAACCATGAAACCTTTTGTAAACCTCTCAACATCTGTATCTTTGAATCTTTCCTTCCTTGGGGCAACTTTATTTCTGTTATTAGGGAAGAAAGAGTGCCAAATCCTTCCTTGACTAAAACCTCAATCCTCAGCATGTATCCTTGGGGATATGCAGCAAGATCAAGATCTCCCTGCTATATATTGGACATTTCTAATCAGAAATCTAATGATGAAAGAATATGTTCTGACCCACCTTCCCAAACACGGCAAACTTCTGAAGTTAAATCAATGATTCCTTTATTAGGAGCGGCGGCAGCCCCAGCAAAAAGTCTCTCTCTCACTGCAGGCTAACACATCTGTCTGGCATGGAGATGAATAGTTGTCTGCCACATCTATTCATCTCCACCCGCTGCCTTTTATCCCCAGAGCAGCGGTGGCTCTTCCTTCCCAAGGACCGGCCCTCTGATTTCTACTGCTCTCCTCTCCTCTGCCTTCTGCGCATCCGCACATCAGGTACTGGACCCAGCTGTTCTTCCTCTCTTCATCAGCCACCTCCAGACCTGGGGACTGTTGACCCTCCATCTGAAGGCTGATGGATGGCCCAGGCTCTGCCTCTG